AGGTGAGGAAAACACTCTAGCTAGATCAATCCTAAGAGAGAAGTTAGGTTTTAGAGTGAGGTGCTCTCCAATGGCTTTTTCGAAAAAGTAAGAGAGAGAAAGGAAATGAAAAAGTGATTCAAAAAGCTGAATCTCGGTGTGTTATACAGGTCGCCCCGCTCGAGCGTCACTCACAGATCCCCGCTCGAGCGTCCAATCCCCCGCTCGAGCGACGGATGCACACCCCCAGAACTATTACAGACAAGATACCCGGTCGAGCGTCAAAACCCCCGCTCGAGCGGCGGATACAACCAACCAGAAGTTTGCAGAATAGGCCCCTGCTCGAGCGTCCAACTCCTCGCTCAAGCTTCACACACGAACTCCCGCTCGAGCTTCAAACCTCACGCTCGAGCGTCCAACACTACAGAGGAAGTACTGGGAAAGTGATTTTCCCGCTCGACCGCCGAAACCCCCGCTCGAGCGGAGAGGCCAAAAACTGGGCAAAGATTCTAAGTTCCAAAACATAACCAACTTATTCCCAACAAGTCCAAAACAACCCAAAACTCTAAGATAAAGAGTAAGGGATAGAAAAAAGGATAAGACAACAACAAATCTACGGAACCAAGTCCGGATTACAATTCAATAACAATAGGGAATACCGGGATCGCTATAATATATATATATATATATATCTTTCTTGAAGCCAATCGTAAAAATTTATATGAAATATTTTGTAAAAATTTTCAATGTTATAATTAATAAGTGCCCCCTCTGATTTAATTTCTTGGCTCCGCCACTGATCACAATAGTGAATGTTGTGCGGGGTGCACTGCTAACTCGATTCCCCACAACCTCTGGACCCTAGTATGCCCTGTAGGCAAAATTGTTTTGTACTTCTCGGACAAGCTAAGTTGGTGACTCAACTTCAATTTTGTTTGTTGAAATAGTAGAACTCAATGCATTTTTGTCTCTGCTAAGGAAACAACTAGATAAGATGTTTCCACGAATAGTTTTTGAACAACCATCAAAAGAAATTTTATTAATAAAAGGAAGAGATACACCAAAATGCTTAAGAAAATTGCATCATTGTCAATACAATGCATCCGAACTAAGATGGCACTCGAAATGTGAACAATCATGTGTAGCCCCAAAGCCACCAACAAGAGTTAGAGAGATTCCTACTCACTTACAAAACAAGTACAAACACAAAAGGTTCAGAACTAGCTTCCACCTCCTAGAAAAACTCTAATCTACTTAATGTTAAACAGAAAAAAAAATATATATGAATAGAGAACTCAAGATCCTTCGAAGAAGCTTTCAACCAAATTGCAATTCTGATTATAATAAGGTCACTCAATTCACCCAAACTTAGTTGTACATCATTGAAAAAACACTAGTTTCTGTGCTTCCAAATTGACCACAAGGTTACTATAATGGGATGCCACTCTAGATCATCTTTTCGACTTTCTTCAATCAGAACCTTGTCCACCAAAACAACACACCTTCAATTGATCCAAGCATTGCCCACTGTGTACCCCACCATTTCTATGAATGGTGTGGAACAATACTATAAAATTACCAAATAATTTTTCCTATGATAGGGATGAGACTTCTTTTGGTTTGAGGAAAGAAAGTTATTTTTTGAATATTTAAGTCAAAAATATTTTAATTGTTTGTTTTCAAATTTATTTAGTTAAAAGTTGGAAAAAAAAATTCACTGGATCCATCATATTTGCTCATGCTAAAAAATATATTTTTTTGAACTTTCTTGTGTCTTTAATAAATTTTAAAAATATGTATTAATTTTTTTATTTTTTTTATTTTACTTTTCAAGTCTATTTAGTCTAGAATAATCCATAAAATAAAAATTCCAAATTCAAACAAAGTTTAAGAAACTAAAAGATCATTCATCAAAATTTCATATTAGCTTAAGGACAACCCGAATTATTTTTATGGGAAACACTATGATGCACACCCACCTTATAACTAAAAAGAAAAATGTCTTACTTTCAATTTTCTGAGTCATAATTAAAAAAAGTAAAAAAGTCATAAGTAAACATAGCATGAGACATAATTAAAGAACTCATGAGTCATAACTAAAGAACAAAATTAGTCATAACTAAAAAAGAAAATGGCATAACTAGAGGTGCATATGGTACACCATTTTTAAAAGGGTGTATATTAGAATTTCACTTATTTTTATAGTAGAAGTTCCTAAGATTTCAAATTTTAGAAGGCTAAAAGCAAACTTTAACATATATACAGTAAAAGATACCCTTAGAGCATCTCCAACGCTAACAGGCATTTTACTTATCTAAACATTACTATAAAGTATACATTTTATTTTTTATATCATTTGTTTCATGTTTCTACTCCAATTATGCTATTTATTTTATTAGCTATTCATCCAAATACTATTAATTTTATAGAATGCCACGTCAACAACAAAGATTGAGAGAAATGATCCTAATGATTAAATACATTTTGCCTAACCTTTGACCATGCCTGTGAGTGCTACACCACTATCATGACTTTGTCTTCATCATCTTCTTTGTCCTTGTCGAGGTTTGCAAACATTCGTCCCATTGGAATTGTGTTCGACCTTATCAACGACAAGTCTTCGTTTTAGTGGTTTCAATGAACGGCCTTCGTCATCATCTTCCATTCTTTTGTTCTTAGTTCTCCAGTGCCATGAAATCAAAGCAACTCAACTGGTTAGTGTTCATGATGCACAGGAACAAGAAAGATGAAGAAAAGGAGAAAGAATATAAAGAAGCAACAAAGAACAAAGTCGAAATGTAAGATAATTTCATTGACTTTTTATTCATTTACAATGAAATTACAGTTAGTGATAATCAATCAATCTCTCTCTCTCTCTCTCTACAATTTATCATAGTCAGAGAAAATTCACTAACTCAATTCAATGAAATTTCTTTGAGTTTATTTCAATTTCACTAATTTTACCCAGTGAAGTTTTACTGACTTTATTCAATTGCAATAAAATTTTACTATGTGATAGTCAGTCTAGGTCTCTACTGTCTTTTCTAGTTGGCGAAATTTCATTGAGCAAACGCATAGAAATTTTTCTAAAGTTAAGTAAAATTTCATTAACTTCATTAAATTTCATAGATTTTCACTAATTTTACTTAATAAAATTTCACTGAGGTTTCAGTCAATGACAATCACTAATTTTACTCAGAGAAATTTCACAATCTAGGAATGTCAAACTTAATTAGTAAAAAAATTCATCACATTATTTTTTTAAAAAAAAATTTATATCCATTATTGGTGTTGTTTGAAATGGTCACCAGTAATTGACAATAGTTATCGAAAAATTATTGTTGATGATCGGAGATGGTCATTGACAGTCGAAGTGGCATGGTAATGAAATTATGCTAAAGGTAGTTTTATCTATAAAAGAAAAAGAAAAAAAAAACTTAGTATCCTTAAACTACAAAATATATTTTAGTCGTCATTAAATTAATAAAATATTTTGACTCATAAGCTCAATTAAAAAAAAAAACCCAAAAAACACAATATACAAAAAGTAAAAAATAAAATGAAATAATTGTTAAAAGAGGGAATTACATCCCAGTGGGATAGTTTTTTTTTTTTTTTTGTGTGTGTGTGTGTGTGTGTGTGTGTGCTGTAATTCCCTCTTATTAAAAAAATCTATCCCAAACTAAGCTACAACCAACTTTCCTACAATTTTTGTAAATATGTAACTTTGAATTTTGTCATCCAAATACAGCATAAACCTCTATAATGATGTCTTTTGGAAATAATCTCAGACTACACATTCAATAAGTATAGTGACACCAATTCAATAACACTCTATAAACGTTCACAAAATGATATTGGTAAAGTTATTGATTCTATTAAGGGTAATGTTATTCGGATAGAACAATTATATAAAAAATGAGTTCAGATTTGATGAAGTTAAAAATATCAATTTTATGGGTGAAGTTGGTGTATTGTGAGACTAATGTATACCTATGTCAAGGATTCGAATCACTCAACTCATATGATAAGTTGAGAAGAACATCGATATGAAAAATTAGATTGATTAGGTATAAGTAATCACATGATGAAATCACATATAATATATATATATATATATATATTATAATACATGAATGGTCTATTCTTAAAAATATGTAGGTTCACTACAAGAATTAACACTTTTGGCAAAAAAAAAATTGGTCGCTAAAAGTCTATTTTTGGTCGGCAAAAATTATCCACGACTAATTTTTTTTGTCGCTAGTTTGGTCGCCAATTGAGGGTCGACAAAAGTAATTCGCGACCAAAATTTTCGTTGGTCGGGAAAAGTTGCATTTGCCGACTAAATTTTTGGTCGCTAAATATTTATTTACTGCGACTAATCCATTTTGTCGCTAAAACACTTTGGTCGCGAAAGGTTGCCTTTTGCCGACCAAATTTCTTAGTCAGCAATTGTCACATTCCACGACCAAAATTAGTTTGGTTGCCAATTGTGACATTTCGCGACCAAAATTTTGGTCGTCAATTGTGACATTCTGCGACCAAAATTAGTTTGGTCGCCAATTGTGACATTTCGCGACCAAAAATTTTGGTTGCCAATTGTGACATTCTGCAACCAAAATTAGTTTGGTCGCCAATTGTCACATTCCGCGACTAAAAATTTTGGTCGCCAATTGTGACATTCTGCGATCAAAATTAGTTTGGTCGCCAATTGTCACATTCTGCGACCAACATCCAACAAAATAAACCTGTAATTTATAATAATCCATCCAATTTATTCAATATAATCTGTAATTTGCAAAAATCATTCAAACCAACAAATAAATTGAATCATGAACATTCAACAAAATACATAGATCAACCATTTCTGAACCTATTTAATTAAAATCAGCAACTATTATAAGTTTTCATCCACAAATAATTCCAAACTACATATTTCATCTAGCATAAAAATTTAAGACATAATAAATACTTGTTATTATGTTTAAAATTTTTATCCACGTACATCAACCGAAAAAATAACTAGTAGTCTACCAAATATTTTCTATACAATAAAGATGCCATGAAAACAGGAAGGAATATATATGGTTTTGAAGCATCAGCCTTGTGCTTGATCATTCTTTTCACCAAGCATGTTCTTTTCACCAAGCATCAGCCTTGTGCTTGATCAAGCAAAGAGACCTTGTCCCATACTCCCCATGTCCATTGCAATTACCAGTTGCGAACGCTGTCCAATATCTTCCAATGCTCTGACCATTAATCCATACTTGACTTTTTCCCATACTCCCCATGTCCAAAGCCAGAGGCTCGTCTCCGTCAGGTGCATTGAAATAAGCCTGCAGTGTTGGAAGACAGATTAAACTCGTAATGCCAATGAATCATTTCCCTGTACATACTGAAATTGAGTCTTTCTGAAATTTATTTTTAATACATCAAGTATAGGTGTCCTAATTGCATCCATACAACTCTAAAACCTACCAGAATTACCTATGACTTTATCTCTTATGTTTTCTCAACTCTAAAACCTTGTTTCTATGTCTTGGTAATTTATTCATTAGCTACAGGCCCAATTTAAAAAAGTTGCCACCAACTAACTTTATACATTTGGAGCAAATTTTTATTGACTAACAAAAATGAAGATTTCTTTTATCAACTATATTAACTAATGAACATACATTAATTTAAAAACAGTACCTAAATGCTGATGAAGCTTTGGATCAATAACTTGGGTAACTGACGCCAAATTATTAAGTTGTGTCTCCACCCCAACAGAGCTCTCAGTGCATCTGAAATTTGCCCGCTTTAAAATTTCAAACAACAACACATGTCATAAGCAACTGGAAATTACAACACACGTCATTCAAATACAAACTACAATAGCTATAACTGATAGTATACACATTAAAATTTTTACAGTCGAATACAATTGATAATATACAGAGAGAAACAGTATGCAACTACATCCCAAAAGAGCTGGAAGATTTTAAAGATAAAACCGACTTCGAACCTCCTCAAGAATCTCATCAGTAATAGGACAGAGAAATTGCTTAAACACTAAAAATGGAACAATTTTGACTAAATTTCTCAGAGCACAACAATTTACATCTTTAGAACAATCGTATTGGTACAGAAGATGTTGTGTATTAATTGTTTTCGCCATTATGTTCAACTAGATTATATGAAAACTTGGTATATAATTCTATTTCAGGCTCTGTTTTGTCAGCAGTTGACAGCTTTTGTTTATTCCAGAAATCTTGAATAGTATATCTTCTAGTGCAACTATTATCATAATTGATCATTTTCTGCATTTTATTGAAGTCATCATTTGACTACCTACCTTGACAGTAGCCTACATCTATATCAAACCATGCATAGACAGCAAGAATGTCCCAAAGTTTTGACAAGTTTTCTTGCTATCAGTGCGAACCACATCGAGACCTGGCATAAATATAAATCCAAGCAAGAAAGGTTACAACACAAGTTCAACTACCGAAATTCATGAACAAGTAACAGTTTTTGTTCATCCAACCAATAAAACAAGACTTCAAAATCTTATTCAAAATGACAAAAAAACAGTACACAAATGACCACCTAAAAAAAAGAAAAGAAGTAATTTGTTGTAGAAGCAACTTAAACAACACAAACAACAACGGGTTGAGCCTGCTTCACGAGTCTTTCACTGGAAGTTTTTGAGAGATTGGTGTAAACATACTAACATGGGGAACATAGATAGTTTAAACAGTCAGACAAATCACCAATAACATACATTTAATGCCCAGGTGGAGAAGATGCTACATAAATGGGAATGTACAGCAGTCCATTTCACTATCCACTGGACACATTCAAATGGTAAGAGAGAGTCAACATGGACATGCATTTCGTGTGCAATCTTCAACATTGAGAAAAAATGAACTGACAATAATAAATGAGCCACTTGAAAATTGTCTACACGATGCAATATATGTGTATCTTGTGTGTGCGTGTTTTTTGCAATTCTGAATTGAGAAACAATATCATTTTCTACACCAACTACAATAATCTCTTTTGGGTGGTGGGGTGGTGGGGAGAGAGAGAGAGAGAGAGACAAGGGTTTGAGAAATGCCACAGTAAAGGATTTGCAGAACTGATCTGATAATTGAAGGGAAAAAATTTAAGGTTCAGGAAATGCTACAGGCATATGACAGATGGTAGCTTTCCTTTGTCATTTATTCTCCGCTCCTTTTTTTGGGATCATGGTGGCTATTTAGTTCGCAAAAAATTGAAAACATCATATTTGAGAGTTCACTACCCTGTTAAGCCTTGCTCTGAAGTGACGCCACTTGCTTTTCTTACTATCATCAAGACTGTCCCCAAAAGTAAATCCATGTACTCTCTCAAGATCTGCACAATTAATCATATAATATATAATTCAATTTGGCAAGAGATGTGTAAATGTTGGTGGATATATCCAAAAAAGGAGGAAAAAGAGACAATAAAATAAAAATTGATAGCATGACTAACTACATAGCAAAAGAAATCAAAATTAAAATTAGAGACAAATAATGTGAAGATGTCCATCTCCATAATTTCTTGTCATACTCCTCAAATGCCCAACCTTAGCTACACTACGGTGAAGAATTGATTTAATATGATTCAAAAACTATATAGGTGATGGTAGAACTAAGTTGTTTGCCTTCAAGATCATCTTATGATTAAGTACTTGTTATGGTTTATTGCAATAAGAATAATTGGAGCATTCCACCGATCTCTAGTATTGGATAAATCATGTCACATCTTTATTAACCCAATGCAGAAAAAAAAAATCAATAAAGTTGATAGGTTCCTAACACAATTGAGAAAACAGGCCTCACAATTCAAAACCAGTAAACTAAATAAATGAGAGAGAGAGAGAGAGAGAGAGAGAAGGCATCATCACGTATTTAATCGTTAAAATCTCTAATACTAAAATTTGCCAAATAATATCAGATAGGGATATTATCCACTCAAGCTCGTTGCAATTCCCCTTCCTAATTCAACTTTCTAACTTTCATACCACCCCATGAGAAATTTATGTCTTTTCACTTCCTCATCTAGTTGTAATGATTAAATGATCCTTCAATTTTATGAAGAGTCCAGACTTTCAATTGCAGTAATTCTTTCCAACTCATCTAGTTGTAATGATTAAATTATCTTTTAATATTTTATGAAAAGTCCAAACTTTCAATTGCCGTAATTGCAGTCATATAACTTATATAACAGTATGCAAGTAGAAGATTGATATTGATATTGTTGTTTCAATCTATTCTTTAATACAACCAAGGTAGAATTACCAGCAGTGAGATAAATTGAACTAGAAAATCAAGAATCATATACCATACAAATATATATGTATATATATATATATGACTTTAAGATTAAAAAACAAAAAACAAAAGGCAGAGAGAAAGAGAAGGGGGCAATCTTAATTCCATAGCCTATTACATAACTATCCAGCCTGTATTGATTCAATTAAAATAGTGATCACAATTAAAATAGTATTTGGTAAAGAAAAAGGAAAAAGGAAATTATGAGACATGCACATTACCAATAAAATACATGCAAACTAAGTAAAGAATTGGAGAGTTAAAGTGCAATATTCCACAAAATAACACCAAAACCGACATCCAACCTTAAAGAAGTTTCCTTCCTCAACATGGTTTTCAAGCGCTACTTGCATGTCCAATGCATGACGAAGTTCCGTTAAAATTGGAAGCATGTCCTGCCAGTCACAACATTTGTTTCAGGGAATAAATAAACAATTTTATCAGATCACCCATTGACACTGTAAAGCATGATCAATTAACTGTAAAGAAGGTTCTAAGGCATTCAAAACAACCTAATTTGAGCAACATCATGTGCAACACTAATCATCAGGTTCTAAGGCTTAGAATACCAGCTGGTATGTAGCACGCCAGCTGGTTTGAATTGGTTTTTGGCCCTTCACCCCGGTACACCATTGGGATAAAAAATCACATGTAAACCAACCATTTTACAACACATTGACATGAACTGGATAAATTATCAATTCCTTAGCAAACCGGGCCAATTCAATAACATAACGATCTTTATTTATAAAAAGATTTAATGCTTTAGACCACCTAACTCAAGGGGCTGGCCATTCAAAAGCCCACCCATACTTGGTGTTATTCCATAGCCCATGGTTAAAATTAATTTGACCAATTGATGCGGAATATAGAACCATACACATGACAGATTGCCGAACCTTTTTTTATTGGATGTAAAAAAGAAATGTATATTAATTTGACCAAGTACTGCCATGGTTGTATCAGAAACATCAACATCAAGGCAAACATTATAAGCTATGCTGAAATGTGTACCAATTGGGTTTGACAAAAGAACTTTAGCAAAGACCGGTAAAATACTTACATAGCACATTCAGATGCCCATTTATTATGAATATTTTAAGTCTGGGAGAAACATGAGTTTCTTCCACCAAGGAAGCTTAGCATCTTGCATTGTAATCAAGGCATCACCCAACAGAGCTGCCAACCACATAACAGACAGGTTAGGAAGTCAAGAACTAAATAGAAAACTCCTTGAGAAGGAAAAGATAAAATGTAAATTGATGACAATTAGTTGAACTAATGGAAAATTAATAGTATGGCTAGATATCGCATATGCAAAATGAGAAATTTCTAATGTAAATAGCACAACTGGGTGAGGAATAAGCCTATAAAACTGGGCCTCACTCTGTTTATAAAACCTACCAAAAGAGAAAAGAGCCACAGAACAAGTTATCAAGCTGGACAAGCAAATACCTAGCATTCTAACCCACATTTTCACATTTCAGAAAGTTAATATTAACAGCCCAAATTTTATTCTAAGCAAAACAGGATATTTCTCTCCCATCAATAACACACTTTTTTCTTTCAATTGCATCGATAAAATACTTTATCACACTAATTTTGTAGTTTTAAAACTATATTCTTGACTAGTTAAATTTTGCTATTGAAGTTTGAGAACCATTTCCCCAAACAAATTGGAACTTTGCTCTAGACTTTAAAATGGGGGGATTCAGCTAATATTTTAACTGAAAAGTACTACCAATAACAGAAATGCAAAACAGAAATCATGTCTGATCTGATTCCAAAACTAAAAACAACAAAAAACTTCAAACCACAAAAAACAATGAATGGCAAAATAAGGACTCACGGATTCATTGATGGGACCAAAAATTTCTTCAACTTTGCCAATCTGGGTCTTGTTTTGAAGATAAATTGGAGCATTAAAGTAAGGTATTTTCTCATTGGTGAGCTTAGTCACTACATCGCCCTCGCAAGCATGAAGAAACGTCAAAATCTCTACACATACATCACAAAATATTCACATTCAAACATCATGAATCCATATAACTAATGCAAATACATATATATGTAAGGACAGAACAGAACAGACCAGCTTCCTCGCAGACACTGGCCTCGACCTCCCACCACCGCTCTGCGACGGCGCATACTTGCGAGAATCCAAAGCCGCCGCCGTTGTCCTCCAAGACGGAACCGGAGTGCTCAATCTGGATCCCGGAGGCTTACCCACCAAAATGTCCCGCTTGAATTGGTAATTCTGCAACACAGAAGACGAAGACGAAGAGCAACCCCTCTTTCGGATCTTGCAGGATTCGGGAATCAAACCCTCCACAACTCGATTCTGCCTTGGCATTATCAATTTCAATTTATCACACTCTCTCTCTCTCTCTCTGATCTATGAAGAAGAAGAAGAAGAAGAAGAAGAAGAAGAAGAAGAATGGATTTGCATTTGAAAATTCAAACCCTAGAAATTTATGATATGGGTTTTGAAAGTGTATGTATATGCTTTTTCATAGCTGGGGCTGGTGGATGGAGTGGGTTGGGGTAATCAGTAGTAGGAGAGTGATGCAAACAAAAGGAAATGAGAGAGAGAGAGAGCATGTGAAGGTGAATGCGTATTTTTAAAACGACGTCGTTTTAGTAATGGCGACCAAATTTTTTGGTCGCCAAAAATTTTCAATTCCCGCCTCTATAAAAATCAAATTTCCCTTCCAAACTTTTGGCGACCAAAAGACCATATTAGTCGCAAAAAAGATACCTTCGCTGACAAATTTTTTTAGTCGCCAAATCTCAATCAACAGCGACTAAAATATTAGTCGCAAAAAGTATAAATTTGGCGACTAATTTTTTTTGGTTGCTGAAAATAAGTTTTTGGCGACCAAATTTTTGGTCGCCAAAAATTATGTGACCTTCCGCGACCAAATTTATAGTTGGTCGGCAAATGCATACCACTTTCTGCGGCCAACTCATTTTTTGGTCGCCAAAAATAATGATCATTCGCGACTAATTAAAATTTGGTTGCCAAATGTCATTTTTTTGCGACCAAAATTTTTTTGGTCGGCAAAAGTGGTCGTCAAATATGTAAATTCTTGTAGTGGTTGTATAGATAAAAATAGTCTACTAATATAACAATCAATATTGGTTCATCTTGATTTTTTGAATGGATAATTTTATTAGTTAGTTGTATAAAATAAACAGTTTAGATCACTGAAATGACTCCAAGTTAGTCTGTTAATAGATCGACTTCACTATAAAGTTGAGATTTTCAATTTTAACAAATCTACACTCTTAAAAAATACAAAAATGCTAGAAATCCCAAAAATTTTACCAAATATCTCACATGGGTGTATGACTCATATGAGACCCACATTGTGTGGGTTCCACACTTATGTGAGACATTTGGTAGAATTTTTAAGATTTTTAACATTACTAGAAAAAAATATATATATATAATGATTTAGAAGAGTTTGAAATCAATCATTGAAAAATAAAGAACCCTTAAAAATTCATTTAATTAAAAAAAAGTCATTATCACATTATTCTTGTACACAATAATTTAGTGGCATAGTATTTTTCTTATATTATTATGAGAGTTATTAAAAAATATTTTCATTCATGATGATTGCTGATTTTGGTAAAATGCCTAGGGGTGCTTGGAATTAGAAGGGGTAGTTTTGGTTTTGGGGGCAAAGGAAGAACACGTGTGTTGTATTGGTTGCTGCTATTAATGTCTTGTTTGTTTTTTTGGTTTTTGTTTTTTTTTGCTGGTATTAAAGGAAGAACACATATAACTATAACCTGGAATCTCCCATGATTCCCAACATCTAGAAACAATCATATTCCACATTTTATCAAATATGAACAACTACACTAGTTTTTATATCACAATTACGTCTGGTAACCTCTCAAGTTCCGTTTCTAACCATGTCGGTTTTATTCCAATAAATACATTAAACAAAATAATACCGCTAATGCCCAAAAAAAAAAACATGATTTTCTTTCCAAACTCATTCTCCAAGAATTATTCAACTATGACATCCTATTTTGATCAAAAGCCCCAAAAGTTAAATGTAATTCTTTTGTTTTCTTTAAAAATGCTCTTTTGGTCGCAAAACGGTAAAAATTTCAAAACCAATCGAATCGAAGTCCGTTTTTGTTCAAATTTAAAATATAGCTCTTTCATAACCTTACAAATATATTCCATGTTTACACTTTCGCAATTTGGACATCAACTCTTTATTTTTCTCAAAATTTCTCTTTTAAGCAAATATATCACAAATTTTTCAAAAATTCTAATTAAATTATATACAACTCTAAGCTCCATATAATCAAGTAAAAGTACATAAAGAAGTGTAGGAAAAATCCCTACTTAACAATGTACACAATATTCCTCAATATCAGTTTATTTTTCTCAAAAATAAATTCCAAAACTCAACGATGAGATAAATATTTCAGGATTAATTTCTCAAAATAAATTATCTAACCATAATATGATGTAGATACAATCCATACAACTATTAAATTTTATTTTCAGATTTCTTTGCAAAATTATCAACACAAAATGATTTTCCCAAATCAATCTCAAAATGCTAACATTCTTAACATTTCAACATAATTTTACTTCCAAAAATTACCAAACAAAAATCTGAAAATATATATATGCAATACCTCTTATAATGATATATTTTCTCAAAATAGCCCTAACATAGCTTTAATGTAAAAATATGAAGAAAGTCCCTACCTCAAATAATGAAGAAGAGCAGATTTGGAAAGCACATCGCCTGATCATGAATCCGAGACTACCATTGCAAAGATTACAACAAGCTCTTCGACTTTCATTTACAACGTTTTTGCAAAATCTCACTCTAAGGACTCCCATTTGAAGCTCAAAGCTTGAGCAAAAATGGAGGAAAGAGAAAGGGAGAGAAAGACGCACAAAGAGTGAGTTGTAGAGCACTACGCCAAAACAGGGCATTAACGGCGGTTTTTTTAACGGCGGTAACGAAAACCGTCGTTAAAGGTACTATTAATGGCGGTAACGAAAATCGTCGTTAAAGGTATCATTAACGGCGGTTTTGTTACCGCCGTTAAAAAAACCGCCACTAAAAGTGTCTTCAACGACGGTAATGAAACCCTTTTTTAACGGCGGTAACGAAACCGCCGTTAATGCCCACTTTTAACGTTAATGACGGCGGTCTTTGCCGGCGAAACTCCGGCGTGCTCCGGCAAAACTCCGGCGAAACCATCTACAATAAAGTAAAAGTAATGTTTAAATATTTATTTAGGGAATATATTTCATGAAGAGTGGCTATGGTAGAGTGGTTAGTGTGGGTGGATGAGAGATTGAGGGTTCAAGACTTGGGGAGTGCAAGAAGAAAGAATTATTTTTTGAAAAATTTGAACTTATTTACGGCGGTAAAAAACCGCCGTTTTTGGTCCTATGTTACCGCCGTTTTTGGTCGACTTTTGACGACGGTAATTTACCTTTTTACGACGGTTGTACTTTTTCCGACACGCGCATAAACGACGGTAACAAAACCGCCGTTAATACCGCCGTTAAAGGCTTTAACGGCAGTTTTACAGCCTTTAACGGCGGTAAAAAACCGCCGCTAAAGCCCAATTTTGGCGTAGTGGAGGGCTCTGCCATGCCAACCCAAACAATTGAAATGAAATGGAAAGGAAGAAGAAATTATTGCAAGGAGACAAAAGGGGGGCCCACCCACATGAGTTTGTATACCAAAAATTTGGTTTCCCCAAAAATATAATTTTTGTAATAATACCTCAAAATTTTACAATATAAATAATAAAATGATATAATTTTTCTCACCACAAAATATAACATTTTTATACACCACAAAATGTAATATTTTGCTCACTGCAAAATATATACATTTTTATTCTTTATAAAATATATAATTTTTCGCCATATGGTACACATCATAAAATTAATTATCAAATATTTATTATAACCCCTATATAATAAATAATAACAACTCCCAAGGTGGTTACTACCAATCATATAATTAAAAAGGACCAAACAGTTAAGCATGAGTCACTAAAAAAACTCAAATTAAATTAAATCTAAATCATGGGTCTCACCCATAAGTCAAACATGGTCCAATTATATACCAAAATAGACCCAACAAATCTATCTCAAATCCTGATCCGAACACCGAAAACTCAATTTCAAATTCTGCTATAAATTAAGCTGAACATCAATCAGCCTGTGAATTTTCATAAAATAAATACTCGTCATTTAATTCTAAAATTTTTATCCAACATGCTAGACTCATATGGGAATAAAATAATTTTATGAGATCGGAAACTATTTTTAAAAAATACAAAATCGAACTATTTTTGCACAGAATTTACACAGCAATCAAATTCGAAAATTTGCTCAATTAAATTATGTGCTGGATATTTAAAAATAATATATATATATATATATAAAAATTGGGTCATTACATGAAAAATGATTAGCAACGTGGGATGAATATAAGGTCCAGTAGAGATCCCATCATGATCCCGTAATGCTCCACTTTTTATTACTCGAATAACATTACCAAACCATTATTATCATCAATTTCAGAGATAGCGGACAGAAATTTCAATATCTTAATAAAGATAAGTAAATGAAGATTCTCTCATCCATATACCAAGTAATGCAACATGTGACATAATTACAATAAATTGCCCGCAAGCTTACATCATTACGTAAAAGAGAAAGGGTTCAACCCTTTTACAACAACGACATTCAGCCAACAAATAAAAGGCCCCGTGGCCGACAGATAATGAAGATCTTCAATCTTGAGTCACTTCTCGATATTCACCTGAAAAAGGATTTGCAACATGGAATGAACATAAAGTTTAGTAGGGATCCCAACATGATCATAAACAATATCAACATACAGATAACTATGATAAGGAATGCTTAAAATCGTATTATATACATAAGTGTCGGTTTATACTTGAAGATATACTTACATCACAAATAGTATTTTTTTTAAACATATACTTTACATAATTATAAGTAGTTCACATTTAAATGAAGATTATTTTTGTTTTATTCCATTTTTGACATTTATCTTAATATTCTCATTAAGTAGAAAATGGTCAATTCAGCACCCAAATGAGGGTTGAGAGGAATTGTTGGTACAAAATTCATAAATGCGATGGAAAAAGATAAACATGGATTTTTTTTTTTTTTTTTTTTTTTTTTTTTTTTTTTTTTGCGTCAACATTGCTTTTTTTTAAGACCATATTCACCTCCTCGAACTTGGTTGAATTTTGTTGAGACCCTTGTCTTGGCAATCTCGTGTGACGAACAATTTCGAATTGTATTTGCTTTATTCA